CTCCAGGGATGGCCTAATTTAGGTACTATACTGTCTATTATAATTTAATAAAACACTACTATAATTTCTCTACGGTGAACAAGCAAAGGTTCACTAACAGACAATAAAGTAAAACTGCATTTCAACCTCTGTTATTGTAGCAACCTTAGCATACATCTGTCTACCATATCTAAATTAGAAATAATAATTGTGAAAAGGAAATTTAATATACCCCCTATTTTTTAATGCTTAAAAAAAAAAAAAAATATATATATATATATATAAAAACTCTCACACCAGGACGAAACTTGTATGCCATAAACCTCTGCACATTATGCCCAAGAGCAAATTGATTATTACTTAGGATGACTGCAACTGCTCTCTAATCTGCAATACCAGAGATACAATCTGCTTGCACATAGCCCATTCACTGTTTAGTAAACCGTGCAGTGTTGAACTGTTGGTATGGCTGCAGTGCACACATTTATGGTCCTTGGCTTGGCTCTCTATCTTGGAAAGAAAGAGAGCTCAGTTGTGCAAGCGGTGTTCTAACACTGCCCGCAAAGCTTGAATAATATTGACATAGCATAGAAACAAAGTTTCTGGATTGATGATTGACCGGAGCTGGAAAGATATTTCTAAAGTGTCTGTGTTGGTAGTTGAAACACTGCACTAACAGAGTCCTTGCACTATAACCATTTCATGATGCTTTTAAGAACCCTTTTAACATTCAGAAATTTAATGGGATACTATAGGCATCAAAACAACTTTACCTTAATGAAACAGTTTGGGTGTATATATCATGCACTCCTGCAGTCTCATTGCTCAATTCTCTGCCATTTAGGAGTTAAATCACTTTCATTTCTATTTATGCAGCCCTAGCCACACCTACCCTGTATATGACTGAAACATCTTGCATGAAAAAATGGTTAGTTTTCAATCAGTTGTTAACTTGCTTTAGAAGTTTATGTATCCTGATTTATTAATTGAACTTTGATCACACACATGAGGCTCTTGCAGGCTCTATAGGGTTATTAACAGAACAGAAGACAAGAAATTCTAGATTAAAGAGACTGTGCAATACTGAAACCTAGCATTTCAGGACATGTTTAAGAAGTCTGTGCAAGTCACATGCAGGGAGGTGTGACTAGGCCTGTATAATCACTGTGATTTAACTCCTAAATGGCAGATAAGTGTGCAGTGAGACTTTAGGGGCATGACCTATACACCGAAAAAGGCTTCAATAAGCTTACTTTATTTTAATGCCTAGAGTGTCCCTTTAAATTTTAGTAAATGCATGTGCTATGTAAAAAAACCAGGGGCGTTCCTGACCATCATGGTGGAGAGACATGTTCTGTATGAGCTCCCACACAAGCCTGATCTTAAAAGCTTACTACAGCCTGCAAAAGCGAGAATTCGGGGGGCATCACCTACTCACCTGATCCTTACATTGGAGGACATGCACTGGGAATACAGGCAAACTAAACAAGGCGCCCCTACCGCTGGTTGGGCTGTGCGGCCTGGTGCACATGGGGCGGGAGGCGGTCGCTCTCCTGGCTCGGGAATGTGCTGGAGTGATCGGCAATCTACATAAGCCCCGTAACCCCCCCACTTGGACCAGCGGGGGGTGATCCCAGTCCACCCAAAGGAGGTAACCCTGATACTGCAGGAGTGTGGGGTGGAAAAACCCTGGAGGAGAGCTGGTGCAGTGACTTACCTAAAATGGTGGACGCAGTACGTGTCCATTGCCCCACTGACAAACACATTGATATCCTGGCAAAACTGGACAAACTATTTGATGCCTTCTGGCACAATCTGGAGCACAGGCTGTACCAACCGGCCCCACCACAGAAGAGTGATGATGCCTCACTCCGAAGTTCCCCTCTATCCCACCATCCAGAAGCTCTGCCTTTGGCTATTCAGCAGGCCCCAAGATGGCGGCTCAGTGCTTATGCAGCAACACGGAGACAGGCTCGGTTCCAGTCCGTGGCTGAAGCTGGAGACGGCATCGAAAGGCCTTGGAGAATCCGGATCCTGACACATACATGCATCACTCTGCCTGACGGACCCCGAGGCTTGCGGTGCCCCTCTCTGGGGTGGGATCCTGCTCAGCCCCTGGACGGTATTGGATAACCTGGCCCATGGACTGGACGGCACAGCACATGGTCACCCACTCTCTCCATCTATACTAAGATTGCTTGAGATGTTCTTTTTTCCACTATTGCTTTGCCCCCACCTCACACAGCTCCTTTCTTTTATCTTCATACTGCTGAGGGAGCCTTCTGGGTTTATCATTCTAACCTGCATATATATGTTCTGTCTATGCATGCAGAGCTGGTATGTATGCTATACTCTTGCTTTACTCATGCATATCTAGCTTAGTTACTTTAACACAGCTAATACATTTCTGCCAAGCCTGCTTTAAAAAAAAAAAAAGTGCTATTTTCTCTGCCATGACAAAGATTGTTACTAAATTGCTTGCTTCTGATGTTGCGAACCTGTAAGTAATCTTACGCACAACTAAAATAAAGAATATAAAAAAAAATACCATGTTTACAAATAAAAGATAAATGTTTTGAGAACATGACTCCTTATCAATAGGATGTCAGAAAAAAACACTGCAATACCAAGACCAACTGCAAATGTATATATATATATATAAAAAAAAAATCCACAAGATGGCTCTGTATATGCCCTTTCATTGGCTGTGCATATATGTGTGTTCTACACATGGTTATCAGGAGTTCTGTGACAGGAGCGGTCCATGTCTACTGTGTGGGATCAGTGCTAGAAAACCTAACTGGAGGTATAACCCAGAAGGTTATGTGTAAGTGGTACCTGGAGCATATAAATTGTGCATAGAACCAGTGGTGTATCCTGGTTTTGTGCTGCCCTAGGCACACACTCACTGACACACAGTCAGACACACACATACACACTAACAGACACAGTCAGACACACACTAACAGAAACACACAGTAAGACACACACTAACAGACACACACTCACACAGTCAGACACACACACACTAACAAAACACACACACATTAACAGACACACACTCATTCACTCATATTAACACTTTTTTTATTTTTTTTTATTTACCCCCCCACCCCCCAACCTCCTTACTTTTGGGAGTGCTGGGGGGGGGGGTTCATTACCTCCCTGGTGGTCCAGTGGTTGCCGGCTGGGCTGGGCAGGCGGCTGGCGAGGGAGCTCTTCTCCTGAGCGGTCTGCTCAGCTCCCTCGCGCGCCGCAAAGTGAGGCTGGGAGCCTGAAGATGACGTCATCTTCCGGCTCCCAGCCTCACTCTGCGGCGCGCGAGGGAGCTGAGCGGACAGCTCAGAGGAAGAGCTCCTTCGCCAGCCGCCCGCCCAGCGCCGCCCGCCAGCCCAGCGCCTGACCGGTCAGTTAGCCTTGTTTGCCTCGCGACTAAAACGCCCCTGCATAGAACTACTACTCAGGATCAACTTTTAAAATTACTAACAGCAGATTATATTTTTTGACATACCTTTTCTGTTCAAGGTGTGTGGCCTAAGTGAGTGGTGGAAGGGGGTGCACAGAGCACCACCATCTTGCCAGTCAATCTTTGTAGTGTAAAAACAAAGAGAACGTTACCTGCGCTCTGGCCTAAATCCCCATGTACATTTAAACAAAATGGAGGCTCTTTAGTTTTATTCCAATGGCCATTTGAATATATAAGCTCACCTGCCACGTCAAGGCAAGCCTGAATAGGTGAGTTAATACACTAGCCATTAGATATGCTGATATCAGCCAAGAATCTCCAGTAAGACAGGAAGGGGTATTTTATAAACCCTTTTCACACACACACACACATATATATATATATATATATATATATATATATATATATATATATGTGTGTGTGAAAAGGGTTTATAATGGCTATTATTATTTTTTTATTATTATTTTTACACTATTCTTCACATGCTCTTGCATAAGTATGGAAACTTAAGAGGGATGTAAGGAACCACAATTGGTGTGAACTGGCTAACAAAGAAATTAGTTAAGGTAAGGCTGCTTTTGCACACAATGCAAATGCTCTTACTCTCTCTAACACTGTGGCACAGGGCCGCCATCAGGGGGTGACAACCGTGACAGTTGTCACGGGCCCGGCGGCCCTGGGGGGCCCGGACTGCTCTGGCAGTCCTGGGCCCCACTTTCCCTTTCTGCACACATAGATAGCGAATATCACTATCTATGTGTGCAGCCGCGGGCCCCCGGCTCCCTGTTACCGCAGAGGGGGCCCAGCCAGGCAGCACACAGCTTCTCCTCCTCTCTGCTCTCTTCTCATAACTCTCGCGAGACCCGCGGAGCGTTGCCATGGTAACCGGGTATCGCGAGAGTTATTAGAAGAGAGGAGGAGAAGCTGCTCCTGTGCTGCCTGGGCCCCCTCTGCGGTAACAGGGACCCGGGGGGCCCCCCACCGGACCACCAGGGATGGAATCTCCCCCCTCCCTGGACACAGGTAAGCAGGGAGGGGGGAGAAACATTGAATTAAATTAATAAAAAATTAATGTTAAAATGCCCCTTCCTCCCCCTCACCCCAGATCACACACTAACAACACACACTGCATACACTAACACACACATACACACTGCATACACTAACACACACATACACTGCATACACTAACACACACACACACTGCATACACTAACACAACACACACACTGCATACAATAACACAACACACACTGCATACACTAACACAACACACACTGCATACAATAACACACACATACACTGCATTCACTAACACAACACACACTGCACACACTAACACACACACTGCATACAATAACACAACACACACACTGCATACAATAACACACACATACACTGCATTCACTAACACAACACACACTGCATACAATAACACACACATTCACTGCATTCACTAACACAACACACACTGCATACAATAACACACACATTCACTGCATTCACTAACACAACACACACTGCATACACTAACACACACACTGCATACAATAACACAACACACACACTGCATACAATAACACACACATACACTGCATTCACTAACACAACACACACACACTGCATACACTAACACAACACACACTGCATACACTGACACACACACACACACACACACACTGCATACACTAACACACACACTGCATACACTAACACAACACACTGCATACACTAACACACACACACTGCATACACTAACGCAACACACACTGCATACACTAACGCAACACACACTGCATCCGCTACACTAACACACACTCTGCATCCGCTACACTAACACACACTCTGCATCCGCTACACACTAACACACTCTCTGCATTCACTACACATTAACACTGCATTCACTACACTAACACACACTCTGCATCCGCTACATACTAACACACTCTCTGCATTCACTACAAATTTACACACACTATGCATTCACTGCACTAACACACACACTACATTCATTACACTGACGCACTCTGCATTCACTACACACTAACATACACACTAACACTAACACACACTCTGCATTCACTAAACTATGCACACACTCTGGATTCACTATACTGACACACACTCTGCATTCACTACACTAACATACACTCTGCATTAACTGTACACACAGCATCCACTACACAAACATCCTGTATTCACAGTACACACACTACATCCACCACAAATTGAAACACTCTGCATTCACTATACACAGACACTGCGTCTGATACACACACTACAGACACTGCATCCACTAAACACATTTCATCTAGTACATACAAACACTACATCCACTACACAAACACACACTACATCACTGTACACACACTACATCACTGTACACACACTACATCCACTACTCAAAAACACTCTGCGTTCACTATACACACTGCATCCGCTACACAAACACACACTCTGCATTTATTGCACAAACAGTATCTAATACACACAAACACTACATCCATTACACACATTCTAATTCACTTCCACTATACACACACCACATTCAGTCCTGCATCATTGTGAGCAGACTAGGTAGGGCGTGGGCGGGCCCGCGAGGAGGGGGGGGGGCCCAGACTTTGTGCTTTGTCATGGGCCCCAAATTTTCTGATGGCGGCCCTGTTGTGGCATGTTCCCTTTCTTCTACACTTTTTCTCTGTCCTAGACTGTATAACAGGATCTAATGCCTGCTGGTAAGCAGGCTAGGAGAGGAGTGGATCAGCAAGTGCAAGGGGACAGTTCTTAGAAAGAGTAGAGCTAGCGCATCATTAGACGCAATTATGCAATGCTCAGGGTGCTATCTGCACAGTATGCCCTTGGTTGGTCATCCAGCATGATTGGCAGAAATGCCCCCTTTTGGGCATGGTTGTCCCTATGGGTGGTGGTTGTTACGTGATTCACATCGGTGGCCCACCTTTTTACCCCGCCCACCAAAATCCTTCTTCACCAGACACTGCTGTTAGGGGGTATGGTTTTTATTTGAAAGATGAGATTAGCATAAGGTATGTGTTTTCTGATAGCTATATCCTGTGAGTTTCCCTCCAGCACCACCTCCACCAGATAGATACCGCTTGGGAGGTATAACTGTTTTAGTGTTTTCTGTCGATAAGATTCTGTTTTTAGGCCCATCATAATTGTCAGCACCAGGCCCAGTGTGCTCTTAATCCGGTCCTGGTCTCCAAGCCAACTTTAGCTTAATGAAGCAGTTTTGGTGTATAAATCATGCCTCTGATGTTTTGCTGCTCAATTTACTGCCTTTTAGGAGTTAAATCACTTTTGTTTCTGTCCATGCAGATCTTGTCTGAAAACAAAATGGTTAATTTTTAATCAGATGCTAACTTACTTTAAATGTGTTTAACTCCTGCTCTCTAAATTGAACTTTAATTACATATATGAGGCTCCTGCAGGGTCTAGCAAGCTATTAACTGAGCACAGGATAAAACATTCTAAATCAAACAGAGTTTGCAACAAAGGAAGTATAAACATTAGATGACTCTTTATAGGAAGTGTTTAGAAAGGCTGTGAAAGTCAAATGCAGTAGGTGTGCTTAGGGCTGCACAAACAGAATTATTTAAAGGGACACTATAGTCAGCAGAACAACTGCAACTTAATGTAGTTGTTCTGGTTAGTATAATCATTTCCTGCAGGCCTTTTTCATGCAAACACTATCTTTTTTAAAAAAACGCAGTGTTTAGATTACAGCCTAGGGACACCTCCAGTGACCACTCCTCAGATGGCCACTGGAGGTGCATTCTGGGGCAGTGCTGCACAGTGTGCAGCACTTGCATTTAGTGTTTCCACACTCTGCATGGAGAAGCTGAAATTTCCTTATCTAGATGCATTGATTTAATGCATATCCATGAGAAGGTGCTGATTGGCCAACCTAGCGTGTGGTCCCGCCCCCATCCCACTCTCTTGCCTATTTCAGCCAATCCACTTCCCTATGGGAAAGCATTGGATTGGCAGAAATTATAAATTCTGATGAAGTCAGCAAGGAGGCAGATTGGAGGCGAGGCCAGCACTGGTGGACCCATGAGGCAGTAGAAATAAGGTAGGTTTTTGTTACCTTTTAAGGGGGCTAAGGTGGGGGGAGGGGAGGTGGTTTTTTACACAGTAGTGTCAGAAATACATGTTTGTGTTCATGACTCTATAGTGTTCCTTTAATTGAGAGTTGAGACTGCAGGGGCATGTTCTATAAACCAAAACTGCTTCATTAAGCTAAGTTGTTTTATTGACTATAGTGTCCCTTTAAGCTTGCTTAAATTCAAGTGAGTCTGCTAGAATTGACTCCCTCAAGGAAAGTGTCACTGAATGTGTCCTGGTGTTTGGTTATTTATCTGCAAATAGCCTATGGCAATGTTAAACTTGAAATGATAATAGGGCTAAGAACTATAGTTATTACTGTAATTGATTTATGTAGCACAAAGTTCAGAGTATCTAAATCTAGTACGGGTAGAGTATGACCAAATTGAAGCAAACGTAAACTGATATAAATAGTGTGATGGATATACAATGTACAGATCAACAAATAGGTTTCAATAGATAACAAAGCTGGACAAAATATGCAAACTTTAGTTGGGTGCATTAGTCCACTTGCTCAGTTACTGATTTTGAATTTTAACAGGTTTCTGTGCACCTTTCATTGACATACGAGATAAAAACCAGAACAGCACTTCATGAAAACACATCACATCAGTAAATTATATCAGTCACATTAGTTCTGTCCCATAAAGCTCTTTAATGTCACATATCCACATCATGTTATAGAGCAGTAATATAAATAAAGAAAGATGCTGTCTGCCTCGTAACATAAATTTAGACATTAGGAAACCACAGAGCTTCAGAGAATAAGCCTCATGTCAGTATGGTAACAAATAACTCCATAATTCTACACAGATCATCACCTTAAATTAAGCAGTGCATCATGTTAGTTTTTCTAAGTGCACGGATCACTAATGTGCTCTGCCACCATAGGCAAAATCAGCACATTTCATTAGAGTGTGCAACCAGTGAATGATTTTTTTTTAATAAATGGTGGACGTTTATTGAATACTCAGAGAGTAATAAATGTATGGATGCCATATCCACTATGTTCAAGGACATTTCTCATTTATACATATCGAAAGTGCTGCCCTGTAGTATGTAGAAGTCAAATGCTTCTGATAGTGTAAATTGGGCGATAAAGCAATTAAGAATCCTGCAGTATATAAATTCTACATATTACAGTACAGCATTATCATAAGTTGCCAGTCAACATGATGAAACTATAGGTATCTGAGAGAACATGGTGGTTATGGCCAGTGATGTATCCTGGTTTTGTGCTGCCCTAGGCAGGACAAAACTCAAGCGCCCCGCGCCACGCGCCCCCCGCGCCACCCCCACCCAACCCTTCCCCCCGCCCCACCTTCTAAATATACACACACACACACAGAGTCAGACACACACACACACACACAGTCAGACACACACACACACAGAGTCAGACACACACACAGTCAGACACACAAACACACACACACACAGTCAGACACACACACACAGTGACACAAACACACACACAAACACACACAGTCAGACACAGACACAGTCAGACACAGACACAGTCAGACACACATAGTCAGACACACACACACACAGTCAGACATACACACACACAGTCAGACACACACACACACAGTCAGACACACACAAACACACACACAGTCAGACACACACACAAACACACACAGTCAGACACACACACAGTCAGACACAGACACAGTCAGACACACAAACACACACACACACACACACAGTCAGACACACACACAGTCAGACACAAACACACACACACACAGTCAGACACACACACAGTCAGACACATTATTATTTTTTTAACCAACCCCCCCCCCCCAGCCTCCTTACCTTTGGGAGTGCTGGGGGGGTTCCTCTTTCTCCCTGGTGGTCCAGTGGCTGCCGGTCGGGCTGATGGGCTGGCTACTGGGCGGGCGGCTGGCGAGGGAGCTCTTCTCCTGAGCGGTCTGCTCAGCTCCCTCGCGCACCGCAGAGTGATGCCGGGAGCCGGGTTGATGATGTCATATTCCGGCTCCCAGCCTCACTCTGCGGCAAGGGAGCTGAGCAGACCGCTCAGAGGAAGTGCTCCCTCGCCAGCCGCCCGCCCGCCCGCCCAGCCCAGCATGTCAGTTAGCCGCGAGGCTAACAAGGCATTTGCCCTGGGCATTTGGGGCTTGGCTTTTTTTACCACCCCCTGAAAAATGACGCCCAAGGCAAATGCCTTGTTTGCCTCGCGGCTAATACGTCCCTGGTTATGGCAACAATAAATATGTGGTACAAAAGATGGGAAATAATTTAGGGTTCTAACTGAGATTTATTTTATTACCTTTTGCATAATACATTTTGAACAAATAAAACTCAAAATTGACCCCAAATTAAAGCCTATCAGGATCAATAGTAGAGGAGATTAGTGGATTGATATACATCACTGGCAAATATATAACTTGTTTATTAATATACATTCACATAATTGTCTATAGTCCTGATATTTTTTTTGGACAGTCCCACATTTAGGGTTACTGTTCCAGCAAAATTAGGATCTGTTGTGAGATTTCAATATGTAAAAGAAGGCAGGCCATTAGGAGCATGCACAAAGCTGTTCAGCAGTACTCCATACATGTGTGCCTTGACGGTCAGTCTTCTTGGCCACCTACTTTAGGTTTGGGCCTGACCCTTTGATGGGTGCTCCTCCCCCCCCCCCCGCCCCACCCTGTTCAGTGCCGCACAGTACTCTGTGAAGCCTCCTCTCTTTCCTGCCCACTTCCATCCCAGAAGGTGAGTAGAGAACATTGGCAGGTATGTCCATATGTC